TGAATGAAAATGAACCATTAAGTTAATTTTCATGAAAAGGGAAAAAATATGAAATGAGTAGACAAAGCTTGCCATTTTTTACATGTAGCAATGAAGATTATAAAAATAAATAATGAGTTAGGGATATTCATTTTTATAGCAATTGATTGTATTTTAAAATCATTTTTTACTTTAAAATGATATTAATAGACAACAAACATTCAAACCGCCTCTCCATATTTATTATTTTTACTAAAATAATGAAAAACTACAATGTAATACCTTTTTTTTTTAATTTTAAAAAGTTAGATTTTTAAGAAATTTTAGTAGCTTTTTTAATTTTTTTTGAAACCGGCCGATTTAGCTAATTCTCCAATTTAGATGGCTGACTTTTTATGAAATTTGGTTCTTGCAAATGCCCTAATGAAACAAATTAATAGAAGCCCTTCAAAAGGGGTTTTTAATTGTCTATTTTGGTGCTTATTAGATATATGGTTAGATGTGCTTAAAGTCAATTTATTTATTTACTTAAAAGGTGGAGTTGAAATCAATTTATCAACACTCGTGATTTCTTGAGATTGTTAACACATTTTGGTTTTGTTCAAAAGATTGCAGATGGGAGATTACGGCATACTTTCGCAGCCTGCCAAAAGAAAATAGCAAGGAAGCAGAACTTTGGATTCCTACAGATACAAAGCAATGGCAGCATCCACCGTTTATTACTCCAATCAAGTCGATGAGCAGTGAACCTCTCTCTGTACAGTTATATGTTGAACACCCCCACCCATCACAGCAACCTTCTGATCCATGAATCACTGGACTGTAAATAATTACACTTCAAAAATTTAGAATGTAATTCAATTGCTCATTTCAAGATGTCTTTGCATGGTGAAATGCATAGTTTGCATGAACTTCCCTTGGTGAGAAAGCAAGGGGTCCAAGAAATAGCATTGAGTATTACATTCCTGCTAATATTCATGATTGATTACTTAGTCCTTGGCAAAATTACAGTGTGAATTACAGCCCATTGATAAACTTGCACATAAGTTACAAGCCAATAAACTACAAAAACGCTGCCATAAGCAACATGCGCATTATGTTCCTTTGCTCGCCCAACCTAGGAAACTGTCCTGTGAACCCGACGGTAAATCCTGCAAGGAAAGAGAAACATCACACAATCATCAAGTCAAATCACCGCACTGATCAAAAAGAAGAGATCCATACACACACAGGGAGGCTCACAAGTTGGCTTAATCGAAAATCCGGGGGCGTATCAAGCTGGCTTAGTCGAAGATCAGACGGTGGTGTGTCAAGCTGGCTCAGGTGAAAGTCAAGGGGTGTATCAAGCTGGTTCAATCGCAATCCTGGTTGATCAAATTCAATCTTTGGAAGTTCCGATTGACTCAAATTTTGACAACTTTCAAGATCCTTCTTAAGATGGGCAGCACCAATATTAGTGTATTCTGATAGGCAAGGAACCACCTTTTTGGACCTGTCATCCTCACGTAGTGATTGGCCTTGAAGGATCTCATCACATAGATATAAGCCATCCAAAAGTTGTTGAGAGTCCAATAAGAACTGTGATTCCCCTTCCCACCATTTTGAGTCTCCAACAGAGTTTATCTCTTGATCCTCAACATTTTCATCCCAGTGAGGCTGTGAGCTTGCACAATTTTCTCCAGTTGTGTCTGGATCTATCACCTACATGCAGAATCATCTAAACCTAAGCAATTCACCCAAAATCAAGAACACAGGAGTATTTGGATTAAAAAGAAAGAAGAGTAAGCTGATAGAAAGTTTTAAGCCTTTTTGAAGGTTTCAAGTATAATTGTTTTGGAAATGATCAACAAGCAAAAGTCAAATATTTATAAAGGAAAATATCTTTTGGACCCCTTAAAATTCCATTGATTTCATTGTAGCCCCTCCCTAGTTTTTTCTCTCAAGCAGCATTGAAAATTTAAAAACTGTATCATTCCACCCCCAGCTCATGTCCTCTTCTCATTTCATTCCTTTTCTTGAATATTGCCCCCAAACAGATTCCCTATTCATACTACTCCTTTCTTTATCTTATTCTTTGTTTCTCCAGACCTACTCCGCTTCTCTGTTACTCTTCCCTCACCCAAAACCCTCGTCTCCCTCCTCTGCAAACCCCATCTCTCTCTCTCTCTCTCCCACCCAAATTGAAACCCTTGTCCCTTTCCTCTGCAAATCTCTCTCACCATTCCCATTTTCTTCTCTCTCTTGCCCAAATCCAAAACTCTCCTCTCCCCTCTGTAAACCCAACTGTCTTCTGTTTGCCTAGTACTCTTTATAGTTCATCCAAAAGTTCCGTTTGTTTAACCTTGACATAAGCCCATGAGAAGTTCTTGCTTCATTGGCATTGAAATGTTAGAAAATTCAGTAAGATATATAACAAATTTACTTTGGGTACAGAAGTGACTCAACTAACCAAGCATGTTCGTGCAATGAGGAATTCTTAGACAGCCAGAAGATGGTATTGGTCTAGTATTTAGTGGTAAAGTTTCAGTCAAGCATCTCCTCTATTCATTGGTAGAGTTTCAGTCTGTTTGGGATTATTTTGTTGATATTTAAAAATTGCTTACAGGGAAGTAGACAGAATCTTTCATAAGAGACTTTTTTAAGGCTTCTTCAAGATTACTAAAACATGTGGGGCAAGGGAGAAATTCTAATCAAGATCAAGGAGCAATCTTTGGTGGTTCATTCCTTGAATGTTTATCCAAAATATGAGGTTTAATGAGAGATGGAAATCAATCGTTCAGATCCTCACAAGGTGCACCAATTCTTATACTTCATGAAACTGGTAAAACGTTAGCAGAGCGAGGAGGCTTAGTTCTTAATCTTCAAGAAACTGGTAAAACGATAGAAGAGAGGATGTTTTTAATTTGGGATTGGGAAGAGAGAGAGAAGAATGAGATTGTAGCGAGAGGAGCATTTTGGATTCGGACAACAAAGAATGAGAGTGAGAGAGAGAGAGAGATGGGATTGTGGGGAGAGTAGCATCTTGGATTTGGGCAACAGAATTACGAGAGAGAGAGACATGGATTGTTGAGAGAGAATTCTGGAAACAGAGCACGACAAGAGAGAGAGAGACAGAGAGAGAGAGGTGGTTTGCAAAGGAGGGCTTGGGGTGATGGGGAGAGAGAGAGAGAAGGGACAGAAAGGGGTATGCGAGAGGAAAAGGGTAAAAAGGGATAGGCTAGGAGAATTAAGGAATAAAAGAGAGTGGATTTGTTCTAGGGGGAATAAATGGGAAAATAAGGAGGGGTTACCATGAAATTAATAGGATTTTAAGGGTCCGTGGGAGATTTTCCCTAGTTATATAATAAGGGAAAGTATAGACCATTTACTTTCAATACAAGGTCACAATCACTTTTGTCTATCAGATTTCAAATCGGATGGTTGTAAGTGTATCATTGACTAGACTCTCAAGTTAAAATAAAAAAAATTCACAAACATTACACTCCCTAAGCCATCCAATTTGACATCTAGTGGCAAGTACCATTTGTGACCTCCTTATACCAAAAATAAATGGTCTCATAGTATACAAATCCCATATGACGAAGATATTACACTTTCCAACAAAGAACCTTTTGGGAAAGATAATGGCAATAATCTGGCAACGCACATCTGCAGTTGCCATTAAATTTATCTGTCAATGATTAATTGTACTCGTAAGACAGGGATAGGAACACTCTTAACATGAGCCATCTGATTGAAGAATCTAGACTTATATTATTTATGTTGCAAACAAGTAAATTATTAATAATGTGGGTTTAGGAAGGCTACCTTAGGTTGCATGCTGCCCAGGAACCAAATATAGAAGGGTACAAAAGTGACCAGAAATACTGATTCCTATTTTGGGGGTGGGGGTGTGCTGTGCAAACATAGAGTCCTTTTTCACATCCACATATAAACTCTAATGCACGCATTCAGCCAAAAAATAAATAAAAGGCTCTTGTGTGCACGTGTGCGTGCGTGTGTGTGTTAATAGCACAAGTTTTTGTGGGGGGTTTCTCAAAATGAGTTGCAAAAAATTCTCCAACAACCAAAGCTATTAATGTTATATAATAAACAAATGGTACCTGAGCTGAAGATTCCTCACATACTGATTTAGGCTCTTGAAGTGAATCTATATCTGGCTGTTGCTTGCTGGGACGAAAGGGTCCAGGCACCATGGCCACAGGGGTGACAGGGTCAACTGGGTCAACTGAGGTTGGTGCTGTTTCCTCAGGCATATCTTGATCATTCTTTTCACATGGTTTCAATTGTTGCTGGTACAACACTTTAGATACAACAAAGTCTCCATCCTTCTCATCGTCCTCAGTCCCAAGATGGTATTGGTGCATCACCCAGTTCGTTTTCTCGGGCTTCCCACCCTTGCCAGTGCTCATATACAAAACCATGATCTTTTTACACCCCCTATGTACCCCATCCACTATCACTTGTCTGGTCTTGCCTGTCTTATGCCAACGAACATCCCCACTACATGGGTTAAGATGATTCAGTATCTTTCGGCGTTTACGTGTCCCAGAGTTATAGGCCTTCACAGTTCTGTGAAAGAAATGGCACACACTTCCATCTTGCTTAACACCTGTGTTATTACTAAGCACAATAAGCAATTAGAAGCTTCTTTTTATTTATTTATCTATTTAACTGACTCTCTGTCAATCTATCTATTTATCTATGCATCCATCTTTGGCATATGATAAGGTGAATGTAAAGAAGGATGGATGCTTGACCTGGTAATTTTTGAGGATGAGTGTAACAGATTCCATCCTCTTCATAAAGAGTCATGATGAACTCATCAATGAAAGGGTGTAGTTTAGCACCATCAACACCAACCTTTGCAGCCAAGTGCCCTAGCAGCTCTTGATCAGATGGATCAAATTTCACACCTCTTGGTAAACCCGGCCAGTCCTGGGTAACCTGAAAAAGTAATAGGCATCTCATGTTCATTCTATATGAATCATCTTGGTTTTTAAAAGCCAACCATCATGTGAAAGGCCTATTATTTCCAAATATGTGGGATCACACCTACATTAATTTAAAGGATGATTTATTTTGGAATTAGAGAATGATTTATTTCAATAACGGGAAAAATACAAGATCTGCATGCAGTGGGAATTAATGGAGGCAGACGTAGATAGAAAAGGTTGGTGAGTGCGAGAGAGAGATGTGCGAAACCCCCTTGCAATATATAAAATGACTTAAGAGTATACTCAAATTAAGTACATATCCTTAACATGCCACTCAAATTGTACATTGTCTTTGAACATGTACAATTTATCGTTAGAAAGTAATGCCTTTCACTTGTGCATCCCTTGGTGAAGATATCAGCAATTTGAGTCTCATCAATATCCATCCGCACCCGTGTAAGACGAGAAGGAGCACAAAAACTGTGGTACATCTAAGTTGTCTGTTGCTCTATCTTCTCATGCACAAAATGACAATCAATTTCAATGTGCTTAGTGTGATAATCTCTTCATAGAGTGGTAAGCCCCCGATTTGGTTCTCCCTCTTCCTTCATTTCATGAGAGTGTTCCTCAGAGTGAGAAAGATAGAAGAAAAGTGTGAGAATTAAGAGAGAGAAAGTAAGGTTGAAGCTCCATTAAAGCTTCATCTCAAGCTTGGAGGTGAAACCCAGCTCCAAGGTGATTTAATTTGGGGGAATTCTTCATCAAAGCCATGCATCCTTGAAGCTTCTTGTAGCTATAATCTTCCATTTACAGAAAGGTCTATTAGTCTCTTGCCTCCTTGATTCACGAGTATTTGAGTTGAGATTGATCTTTTGAGTACAATCCATTGAAATCTAGGTATTTAAGTTTAATTTTGGATAAATTTTGATTAAGAATTCTTGAGATTTAATTGATTGATTTTTCTGCAACTTTTTAATCCAAATCAGTCAATGAAATCACACTGGTGATTTAATTCAGTGAAACATTAAGCGAAAACTATGCCAGAGTTTTCCCACGCTCCTACTTCAGTGTGATTTGAGCTCCTTTTCTCCCATGGTTTTTCCACATTATGGACCCATATTATTGAGCCTCTCTTGTGTTGATACGTGCCACACATAGTGTAGTCTATATGATGCTTAATTGCTTCCCATTGAGATGATGTAAAATTGGCCTAGATCCTGGTGTCATTCAAGTAGTCCTTCCATGGTATGTAGCTAAGGCCTTGGCGATAAATCAGGCACATAGAACTCACTTATTTGGCTTCCTATGATCAAATCTAATGTGCACTTGTAAGTGTTTGCTTTGGTGAAGGAGGAGATTGCATTTCAGTTGTTTGATGTTGTTAAGATTGGGAGAGAAAAGAGAATAAATACAAGCACAAGATAAAGAAAATATGGATGTATCTTTCCCTGTAAACAAATCTTGGGACAATATGCTCTATTACATGGCTAATACATGGCTATTACAACCCAATATGCAAGAGTGTTCATGGCTATAAATGCGATAATAAACTCCAAGTGATGGGAGCATGGTGCATGCATCAATTGACTTCCCACACTTACAGCATATGTAATGTCCAATCGTGTAATAGTCAAATAAATAAGTCTACCCACTAATCTTTGATATACACCAGGGTTATTCAAAGGCTCTAAGTATTGATCATATAATTTGTGGTTAACCTCAATAGGAGATTCTGCTAGTTTGGCTCCAACATTCCTGTGTCATTGAAAAGATCAAGATTATACTTTCTTCGATACAAAAAATTTCCTTGTTTAGACCCAGTCACCTCTATTCCAAGGATGTATTTCAATGGACCAAGATCCTTAATGTAAAAAAAAAGCCCCAAGAAATCTTTATACTTTTTGAATCTCAGGATCATTATTTCCTGTGAGAACTGTATCATGCACATACACTATCAATACTATGGTAGAATAAGAATCTCTTTTAACAAATACCAAATAATCTAAAACACTTCTCTGAAATCCGAACTAACATACAGCCATACTGAATTTTTTGAACCAAGCTCGAGGTGACTGTTTCAGTCTATACACAGCTTTCTCCCCCTGAGTATAAAACCTAGGTGGTAATGTCATATACACTTCCTCTTGCAAATCTCTATGAAGAACAATTTATGTAGTTCACCCCAAAAAGGCTACATCCACGGGCACGGCAAACTGAAATCTACTATATCAATGAAAGTTACATCATAGATTTTGAGACTTAGAGTTACCTCTTTAACCCTGGTACAACCAATCTACCAACTTTTTTAGAACTACTCTCCCAATCGGTCTCACCCGCCGATCTCCCATCTCTATTCTACAGCTAAACCACTGTCAAGGAAGAGACCCATCTCTATTCCCAACTAAACCACTATTGAGGAAGAAAACCTTGAGAGCAACCAAGACTTTCTCTCATAAAGACGGGAAACCATCCAAAATATCCATAGGAAGCGCTTCTCTACAAGAAACGAGTATCTCACTCTGCAGGAGGCACATCGCAGTGTTTCGCTCTATTGGAAGCTCTCTTCTCTCTGAAGGAAGGCCATGTCTTATGCACAAGAGGCTCCCGCCTCTTTCTCTTTAGAGAACGCCACCTTTCTCATATAGTGACCCAAATAGGGCACACATATTCTTTCCTCTTTCATCCCATAGATATAAGGTTAGGAATCTATACTAAATAGAAAACTTCCCATAGATGTTACATATATCTCAAAACCCAAGAGATATATCAAATAATCTTAATCTTTTTGAATTTCTATTTTCTTTAAGAAACTTATCAATATCAATCTTAATCCCAGACAATATGGGGATTTTCTTATGTTGGGTGATTTTGGATATCACCATATCCAACAATCTCTACCTTGATATATAAAATCACCTACTCACCATGCCAACATCCATTAGATAGCTTATGAATTCATCTTTTGCCAAATAAATTCCTTCATCACTGTTGCTGGAAATATTGTGTTTACCATCATATTTCTCCTCCTCAAATAAAACATTTGCATACTTTGTCATGTGTTTTTCTTCCACCGAATGCACAAACGCTGCCTTGTACTGAACCATGCACTTTGATACTACTTGTTGTGATGTAATAGCCCTCTTAGATGCGGAAATAGGAATCCCAGAAGTTGGATCTCACCAAGATCATGTATTTATCCACCTAGAAAGAAAATAGGCGAGAGTATGTGCCAGAATATGAAAAATAAAGCATAAAACACACACAACACAAGGGCACAAAGATTTATGTGGTTCACCCCAAAAGGGCTACATCCACAGACACGACAAACTAAAGATCCACTATATCAATGAAAATTATATCATAGATTTTGAGACATAGAGTTACCTCTTTAACCCTCGACATAACCCAGTCTACCAACCTTTTGAAAAACGCTCTCCAAATTGACACCACCCGCCGATATACCATCTCTATTCCATAGCGAAACCACTGTCAAGGAAAAGACCGATCTCTATTCCATAGCTAAAAGAGCAACGAAGATTTTCTCTCACTAAAAGGGGAAGCGATCCAAAATCTCCATAAGAACCGCTACTCTACAAAAAACCAGTCTCACTCTACAGGAGGCACATCGTAGTGTTTCTCTCTATAGGAAGCTCTGTTTGAAGGAAGGTCATGCCTCTCATGAACAAGAGGCTCCTGCCCCTCTCTCTAAAGGAAGCCACATTTCCCATATAATGACCTAAATAGGGCACATATATTCTTTCATCTTTCATACCATATTATATAAGATTAGGAATCCATACTACATAGAAAACTTCTCATAGATGTTACATATTTCTAAAAAACCAAGAGATATATCCAATAGTCCTAATCTTTTTGGATTTCTATTTCTTTTAAGAAACTTATCAATATCAATCCCAATCCAACATAATATGGGATTTCCTTATGTTGGGTGATTTTGAATCACCATATTCAACATTTTGAGAACATTCAATTGGTATGTGAGACCTTATGTAAGATATATGAACTTAATTTGTAGCACTTGAATACTTGTCTTGTATATTCACAATCTTCTTTGAGTATATTGTGTTTGGACTTTGTCAAGGGACCTAATAGAGTTGTAAATTTCTTTTAAGTGTATTTGAAGCCAAGTTTGGTAGCTGGAAATAGTATGTAAATGTCATATGTTGATGTAAGATTCATGTAATTTGGAGCATTTTGTATTGTAATGAGAAAAGTTTTGAAGTGTTATAACTTGGACTTGACTTTATACACTATGAATGAGTAGTGAAAACGCAAAACAACTCTCACAAAAAGAAATAGATTACCAGTTGTAAATGATGTTATTCCATAGTAACAGTGAAATAACATATCTGAATATAAATGAAAAAGTAAAGAATCACAAAATAAAAGAGCAACTTATGCTAATATCCCCCAAAATTAGCATTATTAAATAAATCCCCCCCTTTTTTTTTTTTTATGTGTACCCCTTTTTCTCTCAAATTTTTATCCCAAATTGCCATGTCAAGTGATGAAGCCATTTTATGACTTCGGATCTTGAAGAGTCGAAGTCAAGCCCCATATCCAAAGTCAAATGTGACTTGGGATTTTCAAAATCCAAAATCACATTAGTCACATTTAACTTTGTATATGAGGAGCTGACTCGTCAAGTCATAAAATAACTTTCACTTTGGATCTTAAAGATCCGAAGTGGTGGCAATTTAAGAATATAAAAAAAAGAGAAAAAAGGGATACATGAATAAAATAGAAAAATTAGGGAGGTACTCCTTTATAACTCTAATTTGGAGGATATTATCATAAATGTCTAAAGAACCATAAACAAGTAAATAAATTCTAAATAGCAGGAAAAAGGAAAGGCTAACTAGCATAAAATGGTAATACACTATTTCATTTCTTCATACATTTTTTTTCTCTCAAACCAACCCTCCTTGACTAAATATGCTTCAGGAGGATTGCGCTTTAGACCTTGACATTTTCTTTGGCTTGAAGGGTGCATGTTTTCATCCCACATCCCCCCACTTTCCTAAGAGAGCAGAATCACTACCTATAGTAGAGGCTTTCCAAGATACTAATAATACTCATAATAACATTTCCCTAGACATAGGAATGACCTAAAATCGGGGCTCTTCTTAACAAATTTTAATACAATCAAGACAATTTTGTATGTGATGTCACACTTCATCTATTGTTAGGTCTCATGCTTCTAACAAATTTTCTGTTTTTCTCTTTAATCAGACTCTAGGTCTTTTTCTTATCTTGATCCCTAACTATTTTAATAAGTTTAAAATAAGAGAAGAAGAGAAGAGATTAGAAGCATTTTAATAGAATCACAAAAGAATCTGGTTGGCATGTATCTTTAATCAAACGGTTCTCACTCTAGCGCCCATGCGTATCAATATAGCATTTTAAAACCATTCATCACAATTATCTACACTTTCCACAAATACAGAAACCTATAGATGAGATACCAAAACCAGTTCTTTCATACAATTTAAAGTCCAAGGGAGCATAACAGAAATGATAAACACCAAGAGAGTATAACAGAAATGATAAAAAAAAAGTGGCGAAAAGGAATTATACATCACTGTTGTCAATAATATGGTTACAGTTTGGACAAGCCCTTGTCGGATTACTTTCCCATTTGATCCTCAGGGGATCACAAGGTTGAGATGCGCTCTTGATCTTTGTTGCTATCCTACTGCTGTCAATCAACCATGCTGCCCTGTAAAATTTAGAGCACAACATGCAAATGCTCCTAGTGATTATCTTAAAGAAATCCAGAAAGAACATAAAACTGAAGCCAATCTGAACTACAAGAGCTAAAGCATTACAAATAAAGATACATGATCCACGTAGAACATCAACTCTTCAAGGAATTAATAGTTGAAAACGTTACAGCTCTAAGGCCTGACAGACTACGAACAACCCATGGTTCATAAAATAATTAGTAATTCTAACAATAACAATAACATTTTTCTCCCTTTGAATCAATTGGCTCAAGTAACAAAGATCGTTAGAGGACCCTGCTGAACACCCAATCTACCCTGGGATGCATCAAACAGGTGAGGAATCAAGATCCCAAGGAGGCTCAAGGAAAGATACGCACAGCCAAGGATTTGGAGAAGTCGCATGTCTCTCTTGGTCACATGATTTCTCATGTTAATATATTATAAAGTGTAAAAGTACAACAATTTCCTTCATGCACTATAAAATTACAAAGTTATCCATTGGCCATACTTGCGTTTACTAAATGAAAATAAGAAGATAAAGTACAACAATAAATTCTATTTTTTCACTTCCCAATCTGACACTTTTCTTTATACTCTCCTAAAACTGATGTCGGTGATTAACAAGCGTCACTTTGTGCCAAAGGAGACTATGGTGCTTGCTAGGCATGGCTTTAATGAAGATATCTGCCACTTAGTCAACATAATGAATATATGGAAGAGTTTGTTCACCCTTTCCATCAGAGTGGAGAAGGAGCAGTAAGTAAGTTGGATTGCCTTATCACTAGGAAGCCATCTAGCACCACATTACTGGTGACATAGCTCTATAATCTGATTCAGATGTGAACTTGCAAACAGTATATTGCTTCCAAAATTTCCATGTGATATGTGAAGAACCTAGGAATAAACAGTATCCTGTAAGAGAGTGACAAGTGTCAAGACATCCAACACAGTCAGCATCATTGAAGACTACTAGCTCATGTGGAGAGTCAAGAGAATAGAAAAGATATCTATCTTGAGTCCCACATAGATAGTAAATGATTCAACATAGTATTTAAGTGTCAACAATGGTGATCTGAGATAAATTGACTAACAACATGAACAGCATGGGCAATATCTTGTCAAGTCATCATGAGCAATACATTACTCCAAACAAAGCGTCGATAGATAGAAGGAACAAAGATTCTATCACCATCATTTGTGGAATCAGTGTTTTAAAAAGCGTTAGGCAGGTCCTAGGCGACCTGGGGGGTCCAGGCCGCCTAGCGCCTAGGCGGGTGCCCAGAACTTGGGCGGCCCAGTAAAAAGAAAAATGTCTCTTTAGTCTCTAACAGTATAAGTATAACTGTATAAAACATAAGAATTAAGGATTTGGGGAACATCAAAATTCAAAAGCATACTACAGAACACATAGGAGCACACACTCTATAAGACCATAACCACAAGTTCAAATCCAATTATGAATTAACCATAGTTTGATTGATAGTCCATACTCTACAATCTACATTCCACGCATAGTTAAAACTTGAAACTTGCCAACCAAATTACCAAAGTTATCAAAGACCAAACCAGTGGAACTACAAATCCACTATCCAAAATACACAACCAAGAGGAGGAAAACAAAAATGAAAGAAATACTTAAAGACTCAAAAGAATCTTCAATCATCATTCATCATCAAAAAAAGTAAGATTAGCTGCATTTGCATCATATGTATCGGAGTCGATGCCACCACCATGCAACGGATCAGCTCCAAACTTCCACCTCTAAGATGTTTCGAAGGACTCAAAATCTACTAAAAAACCCTCTAACAGATTTATAAACATCCAAAATTAAATCTAATATCAATGGGTGATGTTTTAATCAAATTCTCATAACTTTGAGAAACCCTTTGATCATATGGAAATCACCAAAAATTAGTTTTTTGGGTTTTTTCTCTCTCTAAAATAGGCTCTAATGGGTTTTAGGTTTCAAATGAACCTAAAACCCACAATTTTACCCCTTTAGTATTAAAAAAAATTGACAAAAAATGCCCTCAACGAGTGGTTTTTCAGCCTCTGGGCGGGGCGTAGGCCCTAACAGGCCGCCTAGGGATTTCTGCCTTTTTTGGCTGCCTTGGCCTGGGCAATGTGCCCAGACCTTCTGGACCGCCTAGGCGCTAGCGGTCCGCTTTTTAAATCACTACGTGAAATGCTTCACATTAACGTCTGATGGAGTATCCAGTCTTTAAATCTATGAGATGGTAAAGTTGTATAAGATCTTAGGTATAATTCTGCTGTTGAATCCCATAACCTCTGTTGTATGGTGAAATTCTAGCCCTGAAAATACTGAATTCATTTTAAAGGTATTAAAGAGAATATCCTTTAATGCCCAAACTCTAGCTGAATCATCTCAAGTTATGAGGAGATCATCAACATAAACCAAAAAGAACTATGCCAACACACATATGCCAAGGAAATAACGAATGGCCATTAGAGCTTTGCCTATGGCAGGTCCATGAATAATGCCTTCTAAATGGTTAAACCAGGCCCTGGGATGCCTTCCAAACTGCCCCCAAGGTATAATTCTACCAATTACACATTGTGGATTGGTAGAATTATACCTTGGGAGCAGTTTGGAAGGCATCCCACAGGTGACGTTTCATTCCCAATCACCATTTTTAAGCACCACTAGAGTTTAATAACAAAATAATCAAAGAAAAACCAGCACTAATAGAAATAGATCACCAGGAAATAAGTGTTAGACTGCCCATAAATTCTGATTCAGTAATCAGCGGCCCTAAAAATACTAGCAAAGGCAAAATCTAGAAACCAAACTCGCCCCAAAAACTGATTCAAGGTTAAAACTTGATCAAAGTTTTCAAAAAGACCGCACTTTTGATACCTTGGGTTGAGACTAGGAAGTAGTTAAGATTGACGGCCAGGAAGTAGAAAAACAACCGCACTTTCGATATCTTGGGTTGATAATCCAAGAAAAAGGAGAGATTGAGGAAGATGTCGTACATAGAATTAGAGCTGGATAGGCGAAGTGGAGATGTACAAGTGGAATTTTATGTGATCGGCGCATACCAATGAAGCTGAAGAGTAAGTTCTATAAGACAATTTTGAGACCAGCTTTGCTTTATGGGGCAGAATGTTGGGCGGACAAAAAACAATATACCCATAAAATGAATGTAACAGAGATGAGGATGTTGAGATGGATAAGTGACAAGACAATAAGAGATAGAGTCTGAAATGAATCCATTCGAGAAAGTTTAGGCGTGGCACCAATAGGCGATAAGATGAGAGAGAGTAGACTTAGGTGAGTCGGTCATATGTGGCGTCGAACCAGTACAACACCCATTAGGAGGTACGAGTTAGTTCAAGCAGAATGATTAAAAAGGGCAAGGGATAGGCCCAAAAAGACGTGGTTGGAAATAGTCCAAAAATATATAGGGACTTATGGCCTTACTGAGGGTATAGTATTAAATAGAGCAGAATGGCAGACCAAGATTCGATAGTCGACCCCAATTAAATGGGAAAAGATTATGATGATGATGATGATGATGATGGAGATTACACATTGACCTGTTACCGGTAAATATTTGCTACCAACTAGATGGATGTTTCTATAGCAAAGATCAGGCATATCATTGTATTCATAAAGCGGTGGGGATTTGATGGTCATGAAAAATGCTTTTGTTTTTTTGTTTTCCCTCTCAATTCCAGTCAATGACTTTGTTTTCCATTTATTCCCTACAACTCTATTAAAGTTGAAGTGTTTTGTTCTTGATATAACTGAATTAAACGGCAGTGAGGTACTAGAAACTTTTCAACTGGGTATAAATTTATGTTTTTGGTGAGACTAGAGAAGCATTAAGGAAATGTTCCCAAAATGTTTTCTACCTATTGGGAATAGTGATACTCATACCCTGCATACATGATGATGGAAAAGAAAAAGCACTTTTGAGATACCTACAGAGTAAATAATACTGATTCCAAAGAACTTAAAGGTTGCATTTTGCCTAATGCTTTTATAGCTATGATCCATTATCACCTAATGAGAAACAATAGAAAAGAAAGGAAGTATAAATTAAAGATGACAGAGGAGAACCTAAACAGCAGAAGATTCATCAAGACATCATAATCAACGAACAAGTTTCTTCTGTAAACACGTGTGACTGATAAAAAGAAGTCACAAAAGTGATTAATTAATTATCACCAAGTATGTAACTGTCAAAATAAATAGTAAGCAGCATACCACTCTTCAAACCACCATTCTCACATAAACCTTAGAACATGCAATGCCCCTTGCTTAAAACAAGTGCACATCTTATGGGGTGTCCACAAAACCCACAATATTATTCCTACAATTACACTCAGGACAATGCATATTCTCAACATGTGAAACCTACAAACAGAAATTCATAAAGATGAAACATGTATAGAACAACCAATCACTGCCATTTGATTTCTGCTGGAAACCCTCACTCTTTCAAGACAGGAAAATGTTTCAATCCCAGCTTATCCATGAACCGCAAGAGGATCAAAATCGAGTAAACGAAAAAAGGGCAAAAAACTACAGTGGTCAAACGATCAGCCTCACATGGGCTTCAACTAAGTAACTCAATACAAGCAAATAGATCTCTCTCTCTCTCTCTCTCTCTCTCTCTCGCTAGATTAGTACCTGGCCATTCCCAGTGAATAAAATCCCAATCCAGTGAGCCAGAGACATATGCGGAGCAAGAAGTAGGCTGCTTTGTTTTGTAGCGCCTTGGACCCTCAAGAACAGCACAGGGTCCATTCACGTGATTATGCCGTATATATACATATGACGTTGGGCGTGGCATTTGAATCCAATGGGTTCACATGTTGACCCTTTTTTTCTTTTTTCTTTTCTTTTCCTCTTTTTTTTTTTGTTTGTTTTTTTTTTTTTTGAAGTCGGAAGAGAGGACCCCTTCCAATAGTACGAATTAAAAGCACTAACTAATTAAACCCAAACAAATTGGTCAAGCACTAACTTATTAAACCCAAACTCTTTTTTCTTGACATATTGAGTTGACCATGGCCATCAACCATAAGATGAAAGATCCCATGACGGTCCTACTTAGCCTAAAAAAATAAAAAAATAAAAAGAGAATTTCTACAACCAATGCATTATATTGTGTATTTGCTCTCTTGGGTAGAACTTAAGGAAGAGCGCCCATGACCGTTCTACTTAGGGTTTTTCTTTTTTTTTTGACAAAAATATGGAGATGCAATCTGTAATAACCAACTTCAAAGAAAAAGAATTCCTTCAAAAAATTAACATTCTAAGATTGAACAACTGTCCAATTTTTGGAGGGCAGCAGTAAGTGTTCAAGACCTCAGAATCTAATTCTTTTCATGAAAATAATAGGGATATTTAGATAAATTCTTTCTTTATATATATAACAAAAACTCTTCCAAGTAAATCATATGCTCGAGGGTAAGTATGTAGTATTGCCTCTATGGGAGCATATGAAGGGACATCCCTTTAAAAATGCAACAGTGCTAATTACTGGCTTTATTTTTTGGAAAAAACTATATAAGATTACGACCTTAAAATGTAGAATTAAGGTATGCACCACAAATATCCATTGGAAATGGTTGTTTTAATGTTGAAAACCCCCCCTAATTGATCGTCAAGATCTATGAATATGAAAAAAAAAAAAAAAAGATTTCAAGCCCCAAAGATATTGCATCTTGGGACATATTATCAAGACCGTCCATTGTCAACATTTTCATATGGTTAGAAATCTCTTTGATTTGAACTATTTTTGGTGCTTAAAATTTTATAATTAGATAAAAATAGATTTTCAAGCCATCCTAAAAAAAAATTTAAAAAAAAATACATGTTATAATGAAATTTGTAGGTGTTTAAAATTGCAACATTATGCAAATCGCATGTACAAAATTCATTCCTTACATGGAGAACCTTTGCTAAAATCTATACACACAATAAATCACATTGAGCTACAAGTATCTTTCACCAGCTCTTAAACCTCACTCGCCCTCCGAAGTCCAAACACACAATGTCATTTCTTCCAACACCACTACCCAGTCCATCTGCTTGTTGTTTCTTTCCCCTGTGAACATAGTTATATGTAACATTTCCTCTCTCCAAATCTTTGATTTCATCTAAAATTTGTCCGCAGTGACCTTGCATAACCATTGCACCAAAATATGAAATTATGAGAATCCCCCTGGACAACAACCTTTCGATAGTCCCTCAATAAACATCTCATTCCCTGCAAAAGTGAATGGATGATAAATAGAGGATCAGCCCATGTAGTTTGCTCCCACAGGAGTGCACTAGGTGCTTACTCCTGCAGGTAAAAGACTTGGTGGTATTTTCTCAATTTGTATAGACCCCACTTAACCAAAATAAGACAGGTCTTCAAATAGTGTCAAAGGATGTCGTTTTAGTACCAAAAATCTTTATGATAACCTAAAAATTCATTTTCATGTCTGATTATGAAATTTTAAACGTACAAAGTAGTATAGATCAAGCATATCTATGAACACTTGAAAATTGAAAATTGATGGTCTAGGTAATACTTTATAAGATGCACTATTTCCAAGTCTTGAATGGCAGTTTTTGGCATCCATGTATCTTAAGGTCGATTTGAGGTGTGTTTTAGTTTGATTGTTTAGGGCCTCAACCTTATATAAAAAAAATTTCATTTTCTCGATCTATCAATTTTCGGATCCACTTACTAATTCCCAAACAAAACAAATCTATTGTCATAGCTAATGCACTTATTTTACAAAATGCCCATGTTTACGGGACCATCACCATAAATCACCCCTAACGCGAGCTCCCGCAGGGGTACACGGCATGTTTACTCCCTCAATAAAGAACTCGATCCATGGATTAAATTTTGTGATCCACTCTAATCTCAAACATGAAAGAGTCTTTGGTCGTAGTATTCAGTGAAAGGCAGTTAGTTGACCTATCTTTCCCAAACAAAAAGCCAAGTTTATGAGACCCCTTCAAGATTAAGAGTGCATTGCCATAAATCACTAGACATATTACTTTAACAATGAGCGCGTTTGTGTAGTCCCACGAGCACACGTGTACTCCCTCAAATAAAACACTTATCTAAGAGTATTTTCTCCATCTAAAATTTTGTTATTTTTTATTCAATTTATTTTTGGGTTCCTGAACACTAAGAGCTCGTGTGGCAAAAATTCGAGCTATTGTTCATTGTTAAATGTTTTTTCGTACATGCATAGAAAGCCTACGAAATTTTCATATTTTGAGGTAGGTGATTAAGCTGTGGATGTCACATCCTTCAATATAAAGGTCCCAAAAATACTCCTAGATAGAGTTTTAACCTAGTGGCACATACCCAAAAGAGGATATAAATTTTAGATTAATTGTAAATGCAAATCTATGGATTTCAATAAAACAAAACATCTGAATGAAAAATACTTTTGATAATGTTATTTATACTCTCATACTAAAAAAAGGTAAGTGGTAGGTCCAAAAAGATATGGGGACTTATGGCATAACTGAGGTATGGGCCTTGATAGAGCAGAATGGCAGACCATAATTCATATAGCTGACCCCAAAGAGTTGGAAAAATGCTATGATAATGATGAATCTAGTTCGATTCTCACAAATAATCTCACCGATACACTTGTACGTACACAAGCATTTTCATGCAAACACAAATACTATCTCTCTCTTTCTCTAGGGTGGAGCCTGATACGAGATTGAAAGAGTTGATGTGCCCCACAAATGGATCGTCAAATACCAGAAGATCTCTAGTTAGGCTTGATGTTTGGAATCCAAGGTGAGGTTGGCATTCGGTATTTATGGTTGAGGATGTTGGTCCACCATTAGTCCCTTTGGGTTGCCAAGTGCCAACCCCATTTGCCTAGAAGAGCAACGTTTTGCTTTCTCAGATTTTTTATCCCAAGTCCTCCCAATTTTTTGTGGAGGCAAAGTTTCTCGCAAGCAATAAGATGGAATTTGTTGGAGGAAGCATCCCCATACCAAAAGAACGTTCTCATCAGCTATTCTATCCTAGCATTGATGGATACTAGCATATAAAGACATTTGGTAGACTGGTATGTGAGCAATGGTGGCTTTGATGAGAGTCAATCTACCTCCCAGTGACAGGAAGTGGCCTTTACACCCTACTAGTCTACGATCGACCTTGTCAACTATATGAGACGAAAGCCTCTTTTTAGGCTTGCCCAAACAGAGAGGCAACCCAAGGTATTTGGAAGAAAGGTTTTCGGACCCACACCCCCAATTGTCGGCAAAGCTGTTGACGAAGGTTTGGTCAACATTGATCCCATCATAGTTTACTTTAATTCTTGTGACAAACTCAAAACATTTGAGAAACAAGAAGAGGTTGTTAATGTCCTCAAGGTCGGCATTGCAAACAACAGGGTGTTGTCAGCATATTCTAGGTGCGTGACTGTTGGCCCATGATGACCCACAGTAAAACCATGCAAAAGCCCAACCGAATACATTCTGGTAATTGATTGATTGAAGACCTCAACTGAAATGGCGAAAAGAAAAGGGGAGAGAGGATCTTCTTGGCGAAGACCCCTAGTAGAAGGAAAGATCCCTTTGGAAAACCATTGGTAAGGATGGAGAAGTGGGGATGAGAGTAGCACGCTTTCATCCAATTTCTCCACCTAGCTCCAAATCCCATTCTAGGTGGGGTTTCTTTGAGGAGGTCTCAATCTACATGATCGTAAGCTTTCTCCCAATCAAGCTTAACGTAAATTCTTGGTTCTATAGTCAGGTGTATTAAGTGTATGCATTTGTGGGCCACCAGAGCACCATCAAGGATCTAGCGATCTTTAGATCTTTAAATGAATGCACTTTGAGGAGGGGAGATGACCAATGATAGGACTTCTTTAAGGCGTGAGGCCAAAACCTTGGCGATGATTTTGTTGGTGGAATTGACCAATCAGGGAAGCTCCTTCCACCTTGGGGATGAGGGTTATGAAATTGGCATTCAAGGCCTGATGGATGACCCCCCCCCCCCCCCGAAAAAGAATTCTTCAAAGATAGCTAGGAAATCCTCTCTAAAGACTGCCCAAAATCGTTTGAAAAGAGCAATAGGTATCCATCAGGCCCCGGAGCTCCATCAGTGTCTAGCTGAGATAAGGCCGAAAAGATTTATGGCTCGGAGTATGAACTTTCAAGCAACTGGATCTATTGACCAGTAAAACCAAGAAGGAAAGATCCCCCATGGAAGTTCTGGGCTCTGCCGGAGCGGAATAAAGATTTTTGAAATAAGAAAGGATGTGATGCTCGACCTCTTGTGGTTGATCTAAAAGATTATCCTCTCTAAATAAGTGTGAGATCTCTTCTCCTGCAATTTACAGTTCTATGGAAGAAGCCTATATTGAGGTCCCTGGCCTTCACCCATTTAATTTTGGATCACTGATACCATAATATTTCCTCTTGCTTCAGGTGGGATTGGTAAAGATTTTTAAGTTGAATTCTTTGAAGGAATTCTGATTCAAATAGGTTCCTTGTTTCCTCGATATTGTCCAGGGACTGGATGGCTTCAAGGGTGGCTCTCTTTTGGGGTCCGGGAACCCCAAAAAGCTTCAACTCCAAGTTTTGAGGCAAGCCTTGAGAAGTTGAAGTTTGCGTTGGATTTGAAAGTCGGCCCAGCCATGAATAGAGGAAGAAAGATCCTGCCACTAGAGTAGAAATTGAGAGGGAAAAGTGGGTTCTTCCAACCAAGCTAATTCAAACCTAAAAGGTTTGAATCCTCTTTGAGCATGATTAGTATCTGAGAGTAGAGGACATTGGTCAGAGGTGGGCTTAAGTAAGGCCAAGGAATAAGTCCCAAAGAAGATAGAATCCCAGTCAGTAGAGACCAAGAACTGATCGAGTCTGGAAAGGGATTGGTTGGTGGAGTGGTTGTGTCACACCCCAAGAATTTACAGTACTGTTATTCCTAAGATGTGACAGACAAAACATATATACATCTATTGATAGGACAAATTTACAGTGGTGAGGTCTTACAAAGTAAATAAAAAAAGTTTAAGCAAAACTACAATATCTTCCCAAAGTTGATCTTGATGATGACACAAATGAAACCGCAGTCATCCTGAAAAATGTTTACCATAGTTTGATGAGTTTGGCTACTCAGTAAGTGATCATCATAATCCTAAAAATAATCATGATTGAAAGATATCAATATTTTCAAAAAGGAGATTTATTAACAGAAATACTAAGTATAATCCGAGTAATTGAACTGCTTATAACACTTTTAACGGTAGTACATAATTCAAAGGATTTCACAAAATACCCTACTGGCGCCCCAAGTAGGTCACCTATATACCCCAT